CCCTCCCTGCCGTGTGCTGCAGATGGAGCTGGAAGCGCTGCGCTCCATCTACGAGGGAGACCTGTGCTTCAGGGAGCTGAGCCCCGTGTCCTTCCAGTACCGGGTAAGGGGCTGCGGGGCTGCGGGGCTGCGGGGCGGGCTTTGCGTTCCAGGTTCCTCTGCTGCCCTGTGCCGGATGTATCTGGGTTTTCCTGAAACACGTGGGTGTTCGATGGGCAGGAGAGGCTAGATCCTTTGGCTGTCGTTTGGTACCACGAAGCTCGACAGCACAATGCGCAGCATGAAGGAACCTGCTCCCCGTGTGGGTTTATTACCCCTTAGCCAGGCTTCCTCCTTATACATCTAAGTGCTGCCTACCTAGAACTGCTGAACTGGCTGAAGGAGCCAGCATGCTCAATAATACTTAAACTAGCTGATCAGAAATGTTGCTTATAGACACTTATATATATAACTTTTAACCTTTCCCTAAGATTCTGTGATTCCTTATTGCTCAGTTACAAGGTTCTAGTCCTTTGTCCAGAGGTAGTGGATATGCCTTGTCTACCTGCTAAAGAGAAAATCTACAAAATTATTTGAGCACATGCAGTGATTCAGTCTGCTCTGGAGAGATATGCAAGGGGTGCTGAGCTTGGTATATGCAGCTAGAATCTGGTGTGAAGTTCATGCCAGTTTTCTCAGATAAAGACCTGGTAGTTTTTCTGGACTTGGGCTAAAGCAGATCTTTAGATGGTGAGAGAGCTGTAGTGAGAAAAACATAGGCACCCATGGGACAGAAGGGAGACTTCTGAAAATGCCATATCCCTGTAGTGGGGAGGAGGCATCTAAAATAACCTTCTTGTGGACTTCTCAAGTAACTTCAGAACAACATCAGTAATTGTAATGAGATACATCGATTTCATTAATAGCGCTTGAATCCCATCCATCCACGTGCAGCCTTCCTTCACTGAAAGGACCATTACTAGTTAATTTAGTTTCTTTAAAAGAGCAGATGCAATCAGCCTACAAGTCTTCAGTGTATCACTATATTTATATTAGCCTTGGACAGTGCTAAGTTTTATTAGATGAAAAATAATTGTTGAAAGTTAGAATTCCATTTAACTACTGTAAAAATTAGTGCCAGACAAAGGCCATCATACATCTTTCCCATGAATAAGAATTTGTAGTATGCGAAGGCGTAGTAAAAGTGCATGAGAAGGCAGAAAGGAGTAGTATATCAGTTTTCTGAGTCTCATTTGTTTCACACGTCTCATACAAAACGCAGCTGTTTTGCATACAAGTAAGATTATGCCAGTTTTTAGGTTGCACTGGCAAGGAAGAGCATGTTCACACAGCTTTTCTGTATGGATTTGCTCAGTCTGCAGGCAGTGATTTCCTAAGAGAAGAACTCTTTAAACCATACCACCAATTCTGTTCTTGGCAGTGGTGGGAACTGGACTGCAGCACTGTAGATGATGTCTTGATAGATGTTGCAGATTCCTTATTCATTTATTCATTCATTTAGTTAGTTAGTTCATCTCTAAAACAGGTGCATCTGAATGTACAGTAGCCTTGTCTTGATTAAGGCTTTTTTCCTGGCTACACTTCATTCTACATAATTCAAAGAAGCCAGATTTTGCCTATTCTAAAAGGGAAATATAGGAGAATTTCTGTCTGGTTTTTGAATATGGATTTAACCAACTTTGTTGCACAAGTCTTCCAAATCCTTGTGTGAAATCGTTATTTCTGTTTGTATAATATGCCTTTGGTAGCACCTGTACTACTTTAAAATTTTAAACAATTACTTGATTTTAATTTCATGTAACATCGTTGTGAGGATTGTATGTGTGATTTGGGTTCAGTGAATTAACTTGTCGTGCGTGTGTATTTATATGAAGCTGTGCCTTTTTTAATGTTATGCTTTTTTATCCAGTGTCATTCTACTGACTTCTTAAGTCTTTTGCTACTCATTCTTTCTTATAGTGAAATAAAATATCTGTAGGAATAAGACGTAAATATTGACATTCTTACCTATTATTTTTGCTCTCTTGGGTCATTAGTTTATCATAGTCTTTATTTCAGTGCTGTCTTATGGTTTGCTTTCATATTGCTCTGAGCTTGGATATTTTTTGGCGGAAAGGAATGCTTCATCTTTCCTGTTCTCATATACAATTATAAAGTACTTGGCAGATGTTACAAAGTAGCTTTTAAAACCAAGCAATTGGAAAAAAAAACAAAACTGAACATAAGGAGATCTTTGAATGTTTATTCTGCTTTTTCTAAGATGAAAACTGCTGGGTAGAGGTTGATACTGATGTCATTAATATTCTTCCTAGATAACTGCTTTATTTTCTAGCTGGTAATTTGATTACAGGAAGTTGGATAGTCTTAAAGAAGTGAAAGACTTGGATATTGGCATTGTAATCCTTAATTAGTGTCTGGAAACTGTTGATTTATAAAGTTATTCTTTTCCCTTCAGATAGGTGAAAGTGGAGATCCCAAAGCCTTTCTAATAGAAGTTTCTTGGCCAGAAACATATCCACAAACAGCACCAGTCATATCCATGGATGCTTTCTTCAACAACACAATGTAAGTATTTATGACAGCTTCACTCCCTAGCCTTATATATGGGGGCTTTTTGGCTGACAAGTTTTTCTTCACCTGTCAGAAAACAGTTGGGTTTTATGGTTTCTTCTAGATCTTCAGCTATTAAAAAAAGCATATTGGATAAGTTAATGGTAGAAGTTGAAGCAAACCTTGGGACTGCTATGACATACACGCTTTTTGAATATGCCAAAGATAATAAAGAGTTGTTCATGGAAAATCAGCCTGTCAACACTGTGGTAAGTAGATACATCCAAATTTTAATATCTTGCTTTTAAAACGGGAAAAAAAAGTATTAACAACTCTAAATACTTCATAGCTCTGCCTTTAAGTTGCTAGTATATTTGATGGCAAAACAGTGACACACAGAGGATGGTGCCACAGTGTTCTGTGGTCTTAATTGTTATATTTAATTGATACTTTGCTGTTTGTAGGCTGTAATTCTGTCCCACAAATGAACAAAAATTGACAAAGCAGAACTAAATAGCTGAAATGGAGATTAAAGGCATCTGTTGGGGGGGGAGGGACAGCAAAATAATTGCAACCATCCTGGGATTCAATGGCTTGCATAAGTGCACCTCTGGGGTCTGGGATGAGTCAGGCTGGGTCTGTTTGTGGCTGTTGTGATGCTGCAGATTAGCTTTGAGGAAGTAGGAATGGATTCCAAGTTTGGAAAGTCTGAATCCCTTCAGACTAAATCACACTCCATGATTAAACTTTAAAAGTGTAAGAGGTGCCCTTTGCAACTCTGAAAGGGGATAATTCCAATCCTCCAACACATGTTCTTAAAAAGGACAGTCATGATTATATGTTGATTAAAAGCTGCAGGCTGCTGACAGCAGTGCTGCTTTCTGTCAGTCAAGTCATTTCACTATGTCTGTTTGCGTAGTCACACACAGAGGTGTCTGTGGAATTAATATGCAAAGTAGTAACAACCATTTTTATCCTTCTCAGACTTCAGTAAGCAATAGTGTTGCAATTGGAACTCCTGATGTGCCAGCAAGTAAGAAGAAAGATAAAAAAGAGCACTTATCCAAAACCCAGAAAAGAAAACTAGCTGATAAAACAGGTTTGTTCATGGTAACATTGATCTGTTTGAGCAGCATGAGAATCCACATTTTTGTAGCAATGACACCTTGCTAGAGTCAGAATCAGTAGTCATTGGTATTTAAGATTAACTACTTCAAGTCCGTGGTCTCTGTTTTGCTTATTTTAGATGAATTATTGGTGCCTGAAATGTTAGTTCTGTTCAAAGCAACTTTCTATAGAGTAGGGATTTCAAGATGTCATTTGTTTTGTTTTTTGGTAATTTCAATTTGTGACAAAAGTAGATCTTAAAAAAATACTTGTAAGAGGAAAGCATTTGGGACTTCTCAAAATCCACTATCAACACGAGACATGGTTTGTTGATGGGCTTTCTTAAATAATTCACATAATAAAAAATCTAATTTATAAATGAAACTATTTGGTTTGGAAACCACAATGAAACATTTCATTTAGTTTCTATCCTCAGAATAGACGTGCTTCTGCAGATACTATTTGCTTTCAATTAAATGTTTTTTGATTGCAAAGCATTCAGTATTTCAGTTAATCCTCCTGGTGACTTTTATGTGTTTCATCAATCTGAATTTTTAATAATGATCTGGGTAATGCTATACTATTGCAGCAATACATTGTACCTTGTGATAGCAATTTCTGTGTATAACTTACCTAACCTAATGCGTAACTGGCATATTAAATGTTGACTGTATAAAGGAAAAGCTGTGTAAAATTTTCTTCTTTGAGAGAACGCATAATTTCTGCTCAGCCCAGCTCAAGGTAGAGTTGCCTTCTGAAGTAATTGTCAAGTGGTCTGAGGTGGTTTTATTTAAACACCATTACTTTGAAGAACAAGATGTATATAAGACATTATTACCTATTTTTGTCTTCATAGCTTTGTAGTGGAGAAATGGAGCTTTTTGTGTGTTGATGTTAAAGAAAGATAAAGGTCCCCCTTGGCTTGTACAATTGAAAATAAAATCTTCTCATTCTGCAGATAACAAAGGGGAGCTTCCACGAGGATGGAACTGGGTGGATGTAATTAAGGTAACATGACTGCATTGCATGCAGTATCACAAAAATATTGCATATGTACATTAAAAATAATTTGTACTTATATCTGAAGGAAACTAATCTGATTTTTTTTTTGCTTTTCTTCCTAACTTTGTTTGGATCTGACTGTGATGTCTGATTCATTTCTGTATGCATCCAGCATGTAAGTATTTTCAAGTTACCTTTTTAACATTAAAAAAGATTTGTAAGAAATAGTAAGAACTGTTGCTCATTTTGGATTCTAATGTACATATTTCTCAACTGCTTTAAAATATTTAGATCTTTTGAATATTAGAGTCAGAAATAATTCCTCTTTGAACTTTGTTGGTTTACTATTTATTTTTTATTTATTGAGCAATTAAATTTTCATTTTATGATAAGAGAGCTTTGCTAGCCAAATGCACTGCATTTTGTCTTCGCATGGCAGCAAGATGTAAAATAAAGTTAGTGGTGCTGCTGGATTCTGGAGAGCAGTGGGTTAGTAGGCAGGAAAAAGGAGCTGTCCAAGTGGGAACACTTGCTGTTTTCTACAAGCCTGAGCATTCTCTGCCACAGCTCCTTCAGGGAAGTGTTCCTTTCTGCTTGTTCCCTCAGCATGATTTTTTTTCACCCTCTTCTCTTTACTGACTCAGTGGAAATCTGTATAGCTGCTTGACAGTTTTGAACGCAAACTGTTAGTTTATGGAACTATAAGTAATTCTTAGTGTAAGACCTGATACGAGTTCCAGTTATTAAATAAGAGCAAGTAAATTATGATTATGGTTTTGGGCAGAGTCCTTCTGAGTTAAAAGTCTTTATGTCTTGGATATTTTGAATTCTGGATAGATTTTCACAATAGATGCACTACACTTAATAATCATAAACTTAGCTTTGAAAAATACAGAAATAGTAAGGTAATGTCTCTTTTTATATTGTGTAATTTTTTTAATGGGAATTCTCTCAGAGGTGTGTGGAAACACCTTTTCTACTCCTTCACTTTTTTTATTTTGGAGAGCTGGTGATGGGATCTTCAGATTAAATAGAAACAGTACACTGATTATTTTCTGGGATTTTGTGGTGGTGTTTTTTAAATCAACTTTCACATTCAGAAAATAAGCTCACGTGGTGTTTAAGCTTAAGAAATAATTTCTTATGCTTTTCAGTCTCTTGGTACAGTAGCATAATCAGTCTGTATTTAAATATACATGTGTTCTATGTAAGATGGAGATAATGTTCGTGTTTCCTAATAAATGGAATGACAGTCTAAACTTTGAATACTTTCTTTTTGTGTCTCTTTTATAGTTAAGCAAAACTGGTTCTAAAGATGATGAATAAAGGACTTTGGTACAAGGAAACTCCACCTTTTATTACAGTGCAATTTTGGGTCACCTTCTTTCTCTTAAAAACTTTCGTATTTGTTGAAGTAAACATTTTATAAAGCTCAATTTCCTAACTCTCAAACCTAGTCACACAAGTTTATCTAGAGGCTATGTGGTCTTCTTTGGAAAACAAAAAAAACAAACAAACTTGCCTTAAATGAAGGTTAGAATGTGACAAAGGATATAGAGAGCCAGTGTGGTGAAGTGAATAGTGCTATATGCAGTGTTTATTAATTTATATTTTACTCTGTAGTAAAATCCTGTTATAGTGAACCCAATGATACTGTGTTTCCTGATGTTCTTATTCCAATTGAAAAAAAAAGCACTATAACAGTGATTCGTCACTTGACAGCATAATTCATCAAAATAAATTATTCCGTGGAAACAAGACCTTTGTCATTTGTTTCTCTAATATGAATGTAGAAGGAGAACATGAAAGTTGTTAACAGTGCAATGCAGACGGGTCCTGTTTTCACTGGTTACTGGCTGAAGTACTAAATACTAGCACAAGCAAGGCCAGATGTTCTAGTTTGCTCAAAAATGAGTGGTTACAGCAGGAGTAAGTCTTTATTGTCTGCGGTATCCATCTGTTAGTCTTTCTCCAGTGTGAATCTTTACAGAAGGCTGGATGTCTGAGGGGAGGGAAGAGTGCTTTCTTGCACATGTCTGAATGAATGTTGGGATTTTGTAGCCCTTTCATTGGAGAAATGGGCATTGCTTTCAGGGGTTTGCTGACTGAGTGGTGGGACAATGAGAAGAAGTCAGCATTCTGCCAAATGTGTTGGGAGAACTTTTTTGTTTCCTCATCTGCTCTCTTGTATCAAAAAGAGAACTCATCTTTACTGTATGAATGATAACTGAATACAAGATGCCTTAATGTCCTTCATTATTTTTGTTTGTTTTGAGATTAACTTTAATAAATGCCTATTTATCTGCTGTGGTATGTGTTTATAATTTTATTTTTTTTTAAGTTGTGTATTGCCTACTGTACTTCTAGGGCCAAGTTTGAATTTGCAAAGGGTTTTCTATTATAAGGAGAGCATTCTTAAAATTGGTGGAAGAATTATACCTTCTGTCTTTCTGTGTGGGTTCACAGGTTCTTCCTGATAACTGTGTTTGTTATTAATATGAGGGTCAGCCATCCCACTGAGAGTCACAGGAGAATATCCATCATGTACTTGCCGGACACACAGCAAGTCCACTGTCTCTTGGAAAGCATGCACTAAACTGCACTCCACTGCTGCACAGAACAGCCTTTGGTGAGGGAGGTGTTAGAGGTGCAGGCTGGATGCTCTAATCAGTGGTGCTAAGAGCCCTTGTAGCCAGTTGTTATGTGACTGTCATACTAGGACTTCAGTTCATGGAGTGGAAGTGTTTATGCTACTGTCTTTGTCAAGAGTGTTTATATGCAACATACAATAACATAGTTTTCTTAAATTATTTCTGTCTTAACAGAAGAGACTTCATTAATATATTTCAAAATTACTGCATGTCTTAATATATCTACATATAAATTTTAAAAGTTACATTAAAAATTGTGACTGCAGGTGAAGGAAAGAAACTGTACTTGTTCTATGGTTTTCACTCTTCTACAGAGACTGAAGAGATCTGAAAGAAATATAATATGTACTGCTGTCATCCAACAAGAAGCTGTAGTTTTTACTGAGATGCTTGAGTTACAATCAGTAAATGTTTGTGCTTCCTAAAGAGGTACTAATTTCAGGAAGTTGTGATTTCTTTTTGAACCCAGCTCTTATACACAAGGACTTTTTCCAAATGATGCAATCTTGCTTTTGACATAAACTGGAGGCTCATGGCCACAATCTGAGCAAGAGTACCTGGCAGAGAGTAACACTGCAGGGAGAGTTTGTTCTGGTAGTACAAAGCTATTCTGAAACAAGGAAGGGCATGTAATTCTAGTCTCTGCCAGCATCAGAATGGGCAGGGCCCTATTTACAGTTTCTCCAAGGGGAGTTGACATGTCTTTGCTTGTATCATTGGTGCATAAATCAAGTTGCCATGAAAATTTACCTGAATAGTTTATTTAGGGAGGGTGAGGGAAGGACATTTCTTGCTTTTACTGCATGTGACAGCAAACTCAACCTTGTGAAATGCCTGGTTTTTCAGTTCCTCATCTACCTATCAGTCACACGCTCTTGTGAAGATACAGGAGTAATCTCCTCTAGTTCTGTTAGTTAAATGTGTTTGGAAGACTGCTGTCAAGGGAAGTATTTTGCATTGGGTATTTTTTATCAGTTCTAAGCTTCTGTAAATTTTGAAAGGAAATTTGTGTTGTTAAACTGTTTTCTCATGTGCTGTGATAGTTGGAACAGGATCATTTCAAGAATTTGTATACTTGATGTTAGGCAAAGGCCTGAGCACTGACAATTGAGGGGAGGGAAAGTGTAATTATTCTTACGAAGAAAGGCACAGTAGTAAAGAGAGATCATGACTACTGAGGGAATTCTAAACACTGTTGAAAAATACACCACCACCTTTTTATAACTAAAACCCCACTGGCAGTGGAAAAACTGTGGTTTATGCTTTATTTCAGTAGGGCAAGTCTCTTGGTTATAGGGCTATACCATCTATTTAATGTCATGGGTTTTCCAATAGAGCTTTGGTTGGCCTTAGAAGACAAGTGTCAGTACTAGTAACAGTAAAGTAAAAGTAGCAAGTGTCCAAAATGCAGGATGATTAAAAAGGCATTTGCTGGTTTTCAAAATTTTCCATGCTACAGGGATGCTAATTGCCTTATTGAAGCACTAGCTGAAAGAGCTCTTTAAAAAAATACTTTTTATCTCTAGTGTTGTTGCAGTAACCAACTGGAAATCTCATCTGATCAAACATAGTTTACTTTCTTCCCTTTTTCAAATTGGCTCTGGGAATCTTTCCTTGGGACAAATTTGGTGCAGAAAATTGAGCTGGCAATAGTAATGCTTAAATGAAGGTTGGTTGGGTTTTTTAACTGAAATCTAACTTAAAATATCTTTTCAGTCTTTTAGTAGATATTTTCTCAGCAGGCAATAATTTTGTGGTTTGTTTGCTTGCTGTTAAGGAGGTGGGGAGTCTCTCCTTTTTTTTCCTTCTGTCAGTCCTTATGGTGCCCTGAAGCACATCACTAGGCAGTGCTCTTTCCAGCCTCTTACAGGATCTGTTGGCATAGGATTTATGCAGGGTTTTTGTCCCTTTTTTTTAATCTCTGAAACACTGTGACCTCTTTTCCACAATATGTCTAGCTCTTTTGGTTGTTGATACAGGTATCTGAGCAATACAATAATACATTAAAAAAAAAAGTGTGGTAGGGACATAGGAACTGTCACATTGGTATTTTATATTTCACAGAAGTCTTTGGTTGTATCTGGATGTTAAATACAAGTTCATCCAGTGCTGTTCATACCAAGATCAGAGATGCTCCATTGCACCATAACATGTTGCATCCCAGGGAGTGATGCAGACTGCCTGTAGGTAGCCTGGGTGGAGGTGACACCTGTGATGAACCCGTGGTGTGTACCTTGCATATCCTGCTTGCCCCTTGGTCAGCCTGGCACAGGTGACACTGGGATCAAGGCTGCTGATGCCTATGCGGCAACTGGTGGTACATGGGGTGGGCAGATAAAGCATGCCTAAGCACTGAGCCATTTGATTTTGTTGGGTAAAAGAACAGTGGGAAAAAGGCCAGCATTTCTTCATATAGGTCCTTTGGTAGAAGTGCAAACATAGGGAGACTATAATCCTTTCATCCAAGGCAATACAAGTGGTTTTGGGTAGTATTGAGAACTCTGTTGTGATAATCATTGAACTAGTCTGAACCAGAACTCACTCCCCTTTTGAAATTGTTGCCTTCAAACTATGTTTTGTGTCTTACAGTATTTATATATAGATACAGTATAGCTTATAGCAAGGCCTAAGGACTTGTAGTTAATAGCAGAATGAAAGGGGGAGGTAATGTTCATTCAACCAAGAAAATCCCAGAAGTGCGAGAACTCTCTGTGGATTGGAGGAGGAACTGGAGAGGGAGAAACATCCTCATACGCAAAGCTAGAAGAGCAGAGGGAAAAATTGTCATTGCTGCAGGACAATACAACAAAACAAAAGGTAAGCTTCTGGTTGCAGAGCTACACATTCTGGCATGAGGTTGGGTTATGGCAAAAGACAAAGGATTGTAGATTTTCTTTCTTTGACTCACCTGTCTTTTACCAATATGGATTTGGCTTCATGTCAGAATTGGGCTGCTCCATGGTTGTGAGAATTTCTATTTGACTGTTAATGCTTGCTGTTACTCTTTCTGAGCCCATGGAAGCAAACTCTGAAAGTCTGGTGTACTCTCAGAAATGAGTTAAGCTAAAACATACTGAGTAGGCACTACAAAATTGTGTTAGAATATTTGATGTCGGTGAAGGAAAGAATTAACTGTCTCTTTTCCTTCATTCAGAGCAAAGTGAGGACTGACTCATAATGGCTGAATTTCACAAGACGTGACAGTTTATGTCTATCAGACACCAGTGTCCTATGTCAGACTGAAAGTTTGTGTCTATTTTAAGTTTTACATAAGTATCCCTTGCTGCTGTCTGAGAATTCATGCCTGTGGTTGCTACAGTAGTATGTGTTCTAAGTATTTACGCTTACAACATGGGAAAAAATTGAAAACTTTTACTGTGATCACCTACTGCAAGTTACTTGTGTTATGAGATGGAATAAGGTCACAGCAATGAAAGAGACAGCCAAACTGTAACTGCACAGTCTTAATGGAGGGGAATGGGTGTCTCTGAGGGCATAATTTCATCTGCAGTGGCTTTAATACTGGCAATGAGCAGCATAAAGGGAAAAGTCACTCTAGGATGAGTTTAGAAAATATCATTCAAGAAAAGATAATATTTTGCTTCTCAAACAATTATCTGCTGTAATATCACTGAGAGCTGACAAACATATCTTATTTTAAATCAAATGTGTCTCTGTCAGTAATGCATTTTATGATTTCCTGCAGGAAAAGCAGATGTGAGGAAAGCATTACTATCTAAAGACTTGCTGTCTCTGCTGTAGGG